GGTGGAATTTGGGGGGAATTGCGCTCAGACTTGGGGGTTTTGGCCCAAGCCACGGATTTGGGGTTCCCACAGGAGGATTTTGGGTCCAGAAAGGAGGATTTTGGGTCTCACCACGGCCGACATGGCGAAGCTCTTGAACAGGAAGCCCTTCCTGCTGTACCGGTTGCCCTCGAAGATCAGGAAGTCGCCGTCGGAGGCCACGTCCCCCCCAAGGGACCTGTGGGACCCCCAGGTGAGCCCAAGGTGAGCCCAGGGGGTAGATCCCTGGGGGGGGGTCCCAGGAAGGATCCCAGGGGGTGGTACCGGATTTTCTCGGCGTCGAAAAGTCTCTGGGGCGGCCGCTTGAACTTCTTGCGTTTGGCGAACCAGTCCTTCTGCAGGGGGGGAGAAGAGGGATCCACTCACCCTCGAGGATCCACCCACACATCTGGGATGTACTCACACCACTGGGATCCCCTCCCCTGCCCCAGGGGTGCGTCCCCCTCCCTCACCCACCAGGCTCATCCGGGCTTTGATCCGGTCGAAGTCGATCCTGGGGATCATCTTGAGGGAGATCTGGTTCTGGCTTGGTTCCACGTAATCCACCTGGGGGAGAGGGGGCAGGAACGCCCCAGGTGAGCCCCAGGTAACCCCTCCCCCAGCCATAGGTGAGCTCCAGGTAACCCCCAGGTGTGCCCCTCCCTCACCTGGGCGATGTCGTCCTTGTAGATGCCCCTCTTGAGCCTGACCCAGGCCTTGGGTTTGAGGTTGGTGACCTCCTTGACCACCTTGAGCACATCGGTCATCTCCTTGATGGGCACCATCTGCTGGTTCCAGTAGCCCAGGCGCAGGTTGCCCACACCCTCGATGGCCTGCTTGACGTGGGTCTGCTTGTAGGCCTCCACGTACAGGTACCCCCTGACGTGCTCCGGGGCCACCACGGCCTTGATCTGCAGGGGCTGCAGTGGGGGGGACACGAGGGGTCACTGCCGGTGCGCCCAGTACCCCCAGTACCACCCCAGTACTGTCCCAGTGCCCCCCCTCACAGGTACCCCCTGACGTGCTCCGGGGCCACCACGGCCTTGATCTGCAGGGGCTGCAGTGGGGGGCACATGGGGGGGTCAGTTCAGAGCCTCCCAGTGCTCCCAGTCCAGCCCCAGAGCCCCCCGAGAGCCCCCCAGTGCCCCCAGTGCTCACGGTCTCGGTGTACTGGTAGGCGATGAACTTGCGCATGAGGGCGACGGCGGTGGCTCGTTCCTCCCCGATCTGGGGGGGCAGACAGGGGATTTGGGAGGAGAAAGGGAGAGTAAAGGGGTGGAACAGGGGGTTTAGGGGGGAAAGGGGTTTGGGGTGGGGGCAGAAGAAAAGGGGGATTTGGGGCACAAAAAGGGGGAGTTTTGGGGTGGGGGCTCAGCACCCACCTTGCACTTGACAGTCCAGAGATTGGGGTCCCTGAAAGAGAGCAATGAAACCTCGTTAAGGGGGGGTCTGATTGTATTTATTTTATTTTCCCCTCCAGTATTAAACCTTCAGTATGACCCGATCCCCCTCTTCCCCCCCAATTAACTCTCGCTAAAGGAATATTTGACCCAATTCCCTCCTATTTCCCCTAGTTCCCAGACCCATTTTCCCTCTTTCTACCCCCAAACTCACTTGACCCCGGGCAGCAGCTGCTGTTGGGTGATGTCATCTGACAGCTCGTCCGAGCCTCCATAAACCCTGAAAAATGGGGGAAAACCCCCCCAACTCAGGCAAATCGAGGCTGGGGGGGTCAGGAAGCCCCTTCCTGTCACGACAACTGGGGGGTGTCCCAGAGGGATCCTGGGGGGGGGGTCACTCACGTTTCCCCCACCGAGGACTTGGCGTATTTCTTCATGTAATATTCACCCAGCTCCTCCTCCCGCTGGTCCCTGGGGGAGGAAAACACGGAAAGTTAGGGAGAAAGAGGGGAAAAAAAAGAGGGAAATAGGGCTGGGTTGAAGTCATGGGGACTTAGGGGGGCTTCCTGCAGGGGTCCAAAGTCACCTCCAGAGGTTCTGGAGCCGCCGCGCCCCAGAACGATCCTCGTCCAGCACCACGTTGTCGATGTTGGAGGCTGAGGGAGAGGAGGAAGGTCGGGATTGGCACCCCCCCAGGACGGACTCGGGGGGTGTTGGGGGGTGTTTGGGCCCCCCTGTTTGTGGGGGGAACACGTGGACGGGGGTGAGGGGGGATCTTACCTTCGATCTCCTCTGCCCCGGGGACAAAGTGACGGTGGAGGATGAAGTAAATAAACAGCAAATCCAGGTGAGGGGGGGAAATTGGCAAA